AAAGGTGTTGCCGCTGCCGCTGCATAACGGAAGTCGATGGGCTGACTGGTGTTCTTAGGCGAAGGCAGATATGCAAAACTTGCCTTAGCTTGATTGTCGATAGTGGCCACCTGAGGTGTGTACTGCAGAAAGTGATTGTAAACCATAACTGCACCCATTGCGCTAGCGAAAGAAAAGAGCGCGGTGATAAGCAATTGTTTTGTTTTCATATAACTCAATTTTTGTTTTAAACGATTTGTACTGCAAATTTATTGCAAGAGTTTTGGATACTATCAATAGAAAAACCTTACTTTAACTGCATTTAACAGCGAAAAATTAATGAACGTTAAATTCCATAAATACCAAGGTGCGGGCAACGATTTTATTGTGCTCAACAACCGCTATAATACCTATTCAGCGCTTACTACAGCACAAATTCAAATGTTGTGCGATCGGCATTTCGGTATTGGTGCCGATGGCTTGATGCTGCTGGAATCCTTGCAGGGTTTCGATTTCAAGATGGTGTATTTCAACAGTGATGGCCGACAAAGCACGATGTGTGGGAATGGCGGACGATGTATTATTCGATTCGCGAACGATCAAAAAATTGTGGGGGAGCACACTCAGTTTTTAGCTGTGGATGGTCCACATGATGGGGTAGTAAATAATAATGGCACTATCAGTTTGAAGATGATTGATGTATTGGGTGTAGAGCAAGTAGGAGCGGATTATGTATTGCAAACCGGTTCTCCGCATTATGTTGTATTTGTCGACAATGCCGATACAGTTTCGATTGTCGAGGAAGCCCGGAAGATTAGATATAATGAGCGTTTCAAGGCCGATGGAATAAATGTAAACTTCGTTCAAATAATAAGTGGAAGTGAAATTTATGTACGCACTTATGAGCGTGGCGTGGAAGATGAAACCTTAAGTTGTGGTACCGGAGTGGTGGCGTCTGTATTGGCTTTCGTAGCCAAGCAGCAAACTGCATTAAATGAAGTTGCCGTAAAAACAAAGGGCGGAAATTTATCCGTAAAGTTTAATACTGTGCACACAAAGTATACGGATGTTTGGCTGACAGGCCCTGCGGTAAAGGTGTTTGAGGGGAGTGCGGAAATCTAAGTCGTTACTTTATCTCACACTCAAACACCTTCTCTTCCTCTAAAAAGCCTTCTAACTTGTCGCCAATTTGCACAGCACCAACACCTGCAGGTGTTCCAGTGTAAATTAAATCGCCTTGTTGTAAAGTGAAGAATTGCGAGATGTAAACGATAATAGTATCGAATGAATAAAGCATTTGTGTGGAGTTGCCACGCTGTACTTCAGCATCATTTTTTTTCATAGAAAACGTAATTCCATTTTCTTTATTGAAGGCTTCAATACTTTTTAATGGACTGATCACTGCTGAATTATCGAAGGCTTTTGCAATTTCCCAAGGTAAGCCTTTCGATTTTTGATAGGCTTGTAAATCGCGGGCAGTGAAGTCGATACCCAATCCAATTTGATCGTAATAAGTAGAGGCAAATTTTTCTTTGATGTATTTCCCTTGCTTGCAAACACGCAATACCAACTCGGTTTCGTAATGCAAATCTTTCGTCCATTCCGGATAGAAAAACGGCTGATTGTCTTTGAGCAAAGCGGTTGCAGGTTTCATGAACACCACCGGACTTTCCGGAGTTTCGTTGTTCAACTCTTTCGTGTGCTCGCTGTAATTTCGTCCGATGCAGAATATTTTCATGCTAGTTTATTTATTGAATTTCGTCATGGCATTCCCAAGCCCTTCAAATAGGAAGCTTTCAGTAGCTTGTGTAGCCAGAATAATTTTATCGATGAGGTCTTTGTTTTCTTCAGGCGACCATTTTCCTAAAACATAATTCACTTGCTGACCTTTATGATAATTACTGCCAATACCAAATCGTAAACGCGGATAGAGGTTGTTGCCCAAAGTAGCATCAATATCTTTTAATCCGTTATGTCCGCCATCGCTGCCTTTTGGGCGTAAACGAATAGTGCCGAACGGAATCGCCAAATCATCCAAAATGGCCAACATGTTTTCTGGTTTCACATTGGCTTCCTGCATCCAGTAACGCACTGCCTTGCCGCTCAAGTTCATGTAGGTAGTGGGTTTGATGAGGGTAATGTTTTTCCCTTTAAAGCGAAATTGCGCTACATAGGCTAACTTATCGAGTCGGAATTCGGCTTTGTGTTGAGCGGCTAATGCTTCCACAATTTTAAAACCGATATTGTGTCGAGTGTCCACGTACTCTTCCCCAATGTTTCCCAATCCGGCAATTAAAAAATTCGACATGCTTTTTGTTGTTGTCCAAAAGTAAAAAAGCTACCCGATTTGGATAGCTTTTTACAAAAAGTAAATAACCGGGTAAATTATTTTTTGCCCGTTGTTGCTGCTGCTGCCGCTGCTGCTTCTTTAGAAGCACGAGAAGATGTTAATCTTGCTACAGGGATAGATGCAGAGTGTAATAATGTAATTCCTTCGATTTGAATGTCTTTGATTCGTTTGTTCTGACCAACTAGTAAGTCGCCCACTTCAACAACAATCACTTCAGGTAAGTGTTTAGGCAACGCGAAAATTTTCAATTTACGCATAGTTTGCTCTAATTTCGCACCCATAGCTACTTCAGCAGGTACGCCATTCAATTTCAAAGGCACTTCTACTTTCACTTTAACTTCGTCCACCAACTCTTGGAAATCCACGTGTTTAATCGTGTCTTTTACCGGGTCGAATTGCAATTCTTTAGTGATTGCTTTGATTTTTTTACCGTTCAATTCAATTTCTGCAATTTTAAATGCAGGTGTGAACACGATTGGTTGAAGGCTAGTGTAAGGAGCTGAGAAGTTAATCGTTTCCTTACCGCCATAAAGATTACAAGGTACTAAGCCTTGTTTTCTCAACGCTTTAGCCGCTTTTTTTCCTAATTCGGTACGCGGTTGCGCTGCGATTGATACTGTTTCCATCTTTTACTTCGGATTTAAGGTTAAAAAAAATTTGGACGGCAAAGATAGGCTTTTAATCGAGACTTCAAAGCTGCTTTCAAGGCAAATCCCATCGTTAACCGGTGCTTCCACTTACCGAACAAAATTATGTACGTTTGTGGCAATGGAAGAAACAATAATTTTCGGTCGAAAACCGATTTTAGATGCATTGCAGAGCGATAGACGCTTTGACAAGATTATGGTGCTGAAAAGCTCGCAAAGTCCTGAGCTAGAAGAAATAAGCAAACTGGCGCGCCAGAAAAAAGTGGTGCTTCAGGCTGTTCCTAAAGAGAAAATTGAAGATGTATTATACAAAAATCGAATTCGCGAGGCGAACCACCAGGGGATTATCGGTTTTATGCCTTTGATTGATTATTGCACGATTGACGATATTATTCAATACGCCCACGAGCGAAAGGAAGATCCTTTAATTATAGTGCTGGATGGTATTACCGATGTCCATAATTTGGGCGCTATTGCTCGTTCGGCTGAAAGTATGGGGGCGCATGGTATTGTGATGCAGCAAACTGGTTCTGCTCAAATTAATGCAGTAGCGTTGAAAGTGTCTGCCGGGGCTTTGATGAATATTCCGGTTTGTCGGGAGCAGAGTATTTTAACTGTCATTAAATACATCAGAGCCAATGGTATTCGTGTAGTGGGAGCCGATTTGAGTAATGCGGTTCCGGTTTCGCAAGAAGACTTGAACCAGCCAATCGCCATTGTAATGGGCGCTGAGGGAGAAGGTATTGCACCGCAAATCAAAAAATATCTCGATGGTTTTGTGGCTATACCTATGAAAGGGAAAACCGAATCGTTGAACGTGTCGGTGAGTGCGGGGATTATTTTGTATGAAGCGGCAAAGCAAAGAAGTTGAGGGTTGAGGGTGTGAGAGTTGTGGGGGATTGGAGGATAAAACAATTTAATAATGAAGCAATTTAACAATATTATAAGAGTAATGTACCATTAATAGATTGTTGAATTATTTCATTGCTCCATCGTTAAATTGTTCCATTAATTCATCGTTAAATTAATTTTAGCGTTAATAGAAAAAGTATGCAAAAAAAGATTTTGGCCTTAGCCATCAGTGTTTTAGTATTGGCGCTTTTTCTTTCCCTGATTGATTTTGAGGGCATTTGGTCGCTGCCGGAAAGTATGCTGACTTTAATCCGTTTATCGGGTTTGTTATTGTTAGGTATTTATGCATATCATAAAAAATCGCTTACCGTTTGGACGTTCACTGCCATGATTGGTGGTGTGATTATCGGGTACGATTTTCCGCAGTATGCAAAGGAATTGAATGTACTGGGCAAGATTTTTCTTCGACTCATAAAAACCATTATTGCACCATTGCTTTTTGCTACACTTCTAGTGGGCATTGCAGGGCATTCCAATATGAAGCAATTGGGTAGAATGGGAGTGAAAGCCATTATTTACTTTGAATTGGTAACCACCATTGCTTTGTTTATTGGATTGGTAGCTATCAATGTTTCGAAGGCCGGGGTAGGCATTGTTGCTCCGGCTTCTATCGAAAAACCTGAGGGTTTACCGGATCCGGGCAAACATTTTCAGATCTACGAAATTGTTCCGGAAAATATTGCCAAAGCCATAGCCGAAAACAATGTATTGCAGGTGGTGGTGTTTTCGATTTTGTTCGCTATTGCTGTTTCGTTATGTGCCGAAGAAATTAAAAAACCGGTGTTGCGTTTTGGCGAAATTTTGAGCGAGGTGATGTTTAAGTTTACCAATTTGATTATGTATTTCTCGCCTATTGCGGTTTTCGGAGCTATTGCTTTTACCACTGCTACTATGGGTATTAGCATTTTTGCAAATTTCGGATGGTTGCTGTTAACTTTATTTTTTGCATTAGCGGCCTTCTTGTTTTTGGTGTTGTTGCCTATTGCATTGTACTTCAAAATTCCTGTTCGAAAATTCTTGTCGGCCATCAAAGAGCCTGTTTCTGTGGCTTTTGCTACTGCTTCATCGGATGCTGCATTGCCGAAAGCTATGCATGCATTAGAAGACTTTGGTGTGCATAAAAAGGTGTCTTCGTTTGTGATTCCGTTGGGCTACAGTTTTAATTTGGATGGAACAACACTTTATTTATCGCTTGCTTCCATATTTGTAGCACAAGCAGCAGGATTGGATTTGTCGATTAATGCGCAACTTTATATCATGCTTACGCTCATGCTCACCAGTAAAGGTGTTGCGGGTGTTGCGAAGGCTTCGTTTGTGATTTTGTTAGGTACGGTGGCTTCGTTTCATATTCCGGAATGGCCGGTGTATATGATTTTCGGTATTGATGCCATTATGGATATGGCGAGAACTTCAGTGAATGTTATTGGCAATTGTTTGGCAGCTGTTGTGATTGCAAAGAGTGAGGGGGAGTTTGAGGAGGTGATTTGATGATTGGGTAATGAGTTGATTTGATAATGAAGGATTTGAAAATTGAGATTCAGAATTTGATAATTTGGACGAGAGAGGATTTTTTAATAGAAGATTTGGAAATGAGATTTGAACTTTAATGATTTAAGATTTATGCTTATAATGTTTACTGTTTTTGGGATTGCAGATAATGATTTACGAATAAATGCGAACAGCATAAAATTTGAAGGAATAATCTCACAACCTCTATTATACACTCCCAGCCCTCAACTCGTAACCCTCAACCCATAAACAATGAAAGATATAACTACAGAAGCAGATGTGGAGCAACTCGTTCAGGCGTTTTATGCGAGAGCCACGAAAGACGAGCAGATTGGTCATTTTTTTGAGCAAACCGATTTTGTTAAGCACTTACCGCGTATGTACGCCTTCTGGAATTTCATTTTACTTGGTAAGGAAGGGTATAAAGGAAGTGTGTTGGAGAAGCACCTGCACATGGCGCTAACGAAGCGTGATTTCGAGCGTTGGGTATTCCTGTTTACCGAAACCATTCTAGCCTCTTATGCAGGCGAAACAGCCAATATGGCGATTCAACGGGCGCAAACTATGGCGTGGACGTTCGCTGCAAAATTCCCTGAACAATAAGGTCTCTTTTTTTTCGTTTCAATCTTTCTATTTTTACCCAAAACACAATCGCATGTCTAAAACAAAAGCAACTACCGGAGCTACGAAAAGCATAAAAGTCGAAAGTGCTACAACGCCTTCTCCATTTTCGCGTATGCTGCCTTACGGTGCAGCATTACTTTCGTTTATTGTTATCACCTTTGTCTTTTTCTCTCCAATGATTACTGAAAACAAAGTGATTCAACAAGGGGATGTTATGCAGTTCCTTGGCATGGCGCATGAAGTAATAGAGTTTAGGGAAAAAAACAACACTGAGCCATTATGGACGAATTCTATGTTTGGCGGTATGCCTGCGTTTCAGGTATCCACTTCTTACAAGGGCAATATGATGCAGTATGTAAATCAAATTCTAGCGTTGCACTTTCCTGAATATTCGGCTTACACATTTATAGCCTGTTTAAGCTTCTTTCTGCTGTTGTTGGTTTTACGCGTTAATCCTTGGTTGGCTGCAGCCGGAGGTATAGCCTATGCGCTTTCATCTTACAACCTCATCATTATTCAAGCCGGACATAATTCTAAGATGCATGCTATTTCCATTGCACCGTTTGTTTTTGCAGGTGCCTTATTGATTTGGCAACGCAGATATTTATTGGGAACTGCATTAAGCGCAGCTGCTTTTTCGTTGCTGATTTATACGAACCACGTTCAGATTGCCTATTACTCCATCCTATCATTGCTTGTATTTGGTGCTGCGCAGTTAGTGTACACGAGCATTACAGAAAAAGATTGGAAGCATTTTATTGTTTCTTCGCTGTTGTTAGTGGCTACAGGTATAATTGGTGTAGCTTCAAATGCTTCCATGTTGTGGAGTACTTATGAGTATGGAAATTCCACAATACGTGGGAAATCGGAGTTAACGAGTAATAAAGAATCAAACGGTGGCTTAGATAGAGACTATGCCTACAAATGGAGTTTGGGTAAAATGGAAGCAATTACCTTAATGATTCCTAATTTCAGTGGAGGGTCATCGCATTATGAGTTGGACGAAAACAGTGCAATGGCTGAAAAGTTGCAATCTTCAGGTGCTCCTCAAGCTCAGATTGCGCAATACCTGCGGAGTATGCCAACCTATTGGGGCGATCAACCTTTTACCTCGGGGCCTGTGTATCTAGGCGCTATTATGTGTTTTTTATTTGTTTTTGGTTTATTTGTTGTTGATGGACCTATACGATGGTGGTTGGGTTTTGCCACACTATTGTCGGTGTTATTGTCGTTCGGTCACAATCTACAGGGGTTTTCCGATTTGTTTTTCAACTTCTTCCCTGGTTACAATAAATTCAGAACCGTAACTATGGTGTTAGTTATTGCTCAATTGACAGTGCCACTATTAGGTGTTTATGCGCTTTCTAAAGTATTGACTGAGAAAATTGATAAAGAAAAATTAGTCAACGGACTTTATATTTCATTGGGTATTACGGCAGGCTTAAGTTTGTTAATTGCCATTTTAGGTCCGTCCTTATTCAGTTTTACCAGTGCCGGTGATGCCGAGTTGAAAGGTCAGTTTTGGGATATGGCTTTGCCTGCTCTTCGCGAAGACAGAGCTTCGTTGATGCGTAGCGATGCATTCCGTTCATTTTTGTTGATTGCGTTAACGGGTGGTTTAATTTGGGCCTATGTTCAAGATAAATTGAGCAAAAATTTGGTGATAGGTGGTGTTGCGGTTTTGGTGTTGTTTGATATGGCCGGAGTGGGCAAGCGTTTCATTAACGAAAGTGTTTTTGTAGAGAACAACCAAATGAATGCTAGTTTCCAAAAATCACCTGCTGATGAGCAAATTTTAGCCGATCAATCGTTGGATTACAGAGTGTATAATACTACTGTGAATTCATTTAACGATGCGTCAACATCCTATCATCATAAATCAATAGGAGGCTATCATGCAGCGAAATTGA